AATAATGGATTACAAATGTGCGTTAAGGTAAGATAAATTATATACATTTAAAATATTTAATTGTACTATATTGTTTATTTATTATAGTACTAAAGATTGTAAGTACTTCAATAAAGGACGTGGTAAATGTCCATTTGGCAATAAGTGCTTTTATCTACATGCACTTCCTGATGGCACTAAAACAGATGTTGGTCCTCCTGTTCGTCAACGGCGTAATGCAGATGCAGATGATATTTTGCGAGTAAGTTCAAAATTTTTCAATTAATAATAAATATTATTGATTTATTTTGATATTATGTTTTTTAACATTGAGTAATTGTTAAATATATGTAAAAGGTTTTTTAACATTGAGTAATGTTAAAAATATGTAAAAGATTTCCAAATTTTTACAGCAAATAATTTTGTGGGACTTTTTTGAAGAAAGAGACACTCGTTGGATATATGATGTAGATCTTGAAGATATTGTTTCCCTTTTTTCAGGTTCAGAAGAATCTGAATGGTCTGAATTTGAATTTTAGATTGAGTAGTTGTATTAATTTAGTAATCTGCTACTATTGTTGTTAACTGTATCATCTATCTCATCCACCACTTGTATGTGGTTTCAATGGCTGAATAGACAAGTAGTTTATAAATTGTTTCAATGGTTATGATTTAAAGACATCTCAACTACATTAATGAAAAATTTGTGTGCTTTTACTTGATAATATTTACGTGAAAAATATGTAAATAATATCAAGTTAATAACAACAAAAAACAATAACAAAGAGGTTACAGTCTCATGTACAATGGCAAGTTTTTAAATGTTACATAGTTATTTTCTAATCGAATTTGTTTATGTATCTTGACCAATATTATTACAACTAATACTCAATCATAAAAATATGCATCAATCTATTATATATCAGTGGTCCAAATTAATTCGATTAATAGAATATATCATATAATAATCATTTGCCAGTATAAAAATAAAAAATTTTGTTTCTATCCTTTTTTAATTTGGCTTTAAATATCTTTTTTTAAATAAAATAAATAAATATTGTTTTTTATAACAACAAAAGTAAATTTATATATTTAAAATTTTTATTAAGAAATTCTTATTTTTTTTGAGGAGAATCATTGTTTAAGATTTTTAATAGAATTATTTTCGTAAATATTATACTTATTATTAATTTTTGGCTTGAAACTTAATGTTTGCTTAAAAACAGATTAAATAAAATAAAAAAATATAAATTTATTTTTTTATAACGTATATAGCTTTATTAGTTTAGAATTAATTTTAATTTCGGTTGGGTACTTATATTTTTTTTGCCAGCAAAAAAAAACCTCAACTTTTATTATATTTATTTGTTATTCAACTTGGATAATGAAGAATTTATAGAATGTAAAATTTTGATTTGAATTAATAAGATAGTAAAATATATAAACAATCTATTGTTCGTAATAATCAGTATGTAATATCTATTTGAGTATCAATTATTCATATTGAGGATACAATTAACAAGTTTTGTCCTACCTCCAATTATGGCTCTGCGAACACTTAACAAATTTCCTTAACTTATTAAACTGTATAGCGTTAGTTTCTAATTAATAGTTTTAAGATAACCGTGATAAATTGCGCAAATCGAGTGTTCTATATAATAAGTGTATGTCTGGGCGATAGTATGAAAATTTGGTTGAATGTGTGTACTGCTAAATATAATAAAAAAAAAAACTCTTTTTAGCGAGTATACACAAACAGATTTCAGATATAGAAAAAAATAACAAATAAAATTTATTTTATAAACGAGTATTAAATTCAAAGCTGTTTGGAATCTTTGTTATTTTATCTTTTTGCATTTTATATTTGCATTAAATACATTAAATATACATTTAGTATATTTAGATACTTTTTTTAGTTAAAAGTTTAAGTTAAATTTTTTAAATAAATAATATTAAAAAAATAAATTATTATTTTCACTGGTATGAAAAAAAGGCAATCAGAGCTTTATAAATAGAAATAAAAACCAAAGAATATGGTATCAATTTTTTTATTAGTTATTTTATAAAAATGATTTTTTCTATTAAAAGATTATATTCTAAATCTATTGCTCTGAATGAATATTTGATTATATATTTTTTTTGATTATCAAATTTGATTTGATTATCAAATTGTTTAAAAATATTTCATATATGTAAATTCCATTTATTATTACACTTAGTGATAAGATACTCTTCTCTTCAACAATATTATCTATCTTCAGTGTTGTCTTTAAAGAATAAGATAATCACATTGTTCGTCAATAAGACCTAATATTATCGAAAGTTTTTTCAAACAATCTTTTCATGATAAAATATGTAAATTGTTTATATTTTCTATAGAATTTCTATACTGTTAATTTTATAGCGAATTGTTATAATTAAGTGTTTATTGTTATTGCTAACGTCGCTTATAAATCTATTTAGAATATTCTGTATATTGTCCCTATATAAAGCACTTGTCTTATATTTTTGTTTTATCTATTATGTATTTGTATATTCATTTTAATATAATGTTAATGCATCTAATATGCTATCACAATTAAAAAACATGAAAGTAACATATGAAAGTAATTAAAATATATAACTTTCATGTGTTATATATTAATTTTTTTTTAACATTATTATTAAAATTTATGCGTTATCAATAAGAATAATAATCATGTTGTTTGATAACATTGAATGTAATTTATGGATTCTAATGTGTTTTTCAATAATGTATGTCTTGTTATTGTCCAAAAAGCAGGGAAATATACACTGCCAATGGGTCTGATTGTAAGTTCAATTTTAATTCATTTTGTGAAGTGCAGTTGTAAAGTGAAAAACAATGCTTCGCTCATATAATATGTTATGCGTATATGTTTTTGCAATTGCACTATTTAAGTGTATCATAGTTTATAATAATTTATGTGATAGTATGAGAGATAATTTTTAAGATGAAATTAGTTAATGGTAAATTATATTTTAGGTATAATTAATTGATTGTTATTCCGTACTATATCAAAAAATTTATCAGATAAGATTTTGTTCATTATATAATTTAAAATTTAATTTTCTTTTTATTATATTTTATTCATTTTAATATATATCTTATTCTACAAAGAAAAAAAATGCGTTATGTATAAGAATAATAATTTTTTTAAATTAATTTAGTTTAAACACATATTTTGACTGAAACAAATAATGTAGATTTTAATCCTGTTTAATTTATTTATTGATTGGTTTTAATTTTTTTAATTGATATATTGCTTTTGTCTATTTTTTATATGAATTTTTTTTAAATTAATATAATTTTACAAATGATAATCAAACAAAAATTTTTTATTATAGAAGGCATTAAATCTTTTCTTAATCTTCTATTATCAGCACATTATTCGATGTTATTCATAATATTATATAAAAATATAACAAAATTAATAGCTTTATATTAATTTTTATTAATATTTATATTTTAATATAGAAGTTAACAAAGTTAGTATGTACTATAGTTTTAAATTATTAAACATATAATTGTTTAAAATATTTATTAATAGGACAATGAACGCTTAAGTTCTCTAAATAAATAGTAAAATGTAAAAGAATATCGCGGAAGAAATTTTTTTTTAAATATTTAATATTTAATAGTATGATCAATCATATAAATAATAAAAAAAAAATGTATCTTTTGAGATTTATGTAAATTGTAAATTTAATTTGAAATGTTAATTTTTGTGATAATTTAAATATAGGTATTAAAAAACTCTTAAATTCAAGAATATTTTTTATTCACTGGTATTTTTTCATAGAAATAATACAATACTGTTTTGTAAATAAAATATACATACATAAAATAATTACAAAAAAATGTAACACTGTTTTTTTTTTATGAAAATATTAAAGAATATTAAAGATAAAGTTAAATCAATCAATTTTTTTTATTTATTTTTAACAAATTACTATATTATTTTAGACAATATATTTAATAAGTAATAAAGATAAAATGAAAAGAGAGAAAATAAGAATTATTCATATCTATTGAACTTATATATATAATATTTATATAATTTAATAATATTAATTTGAGTATACATTGAATTGTTAAATACAAAAATTAAAATTGCGAAATTAAGTAGAATGTATTATAAGAATATATTTTGAAACTAAATAGAATTTTGTTATGTTTATATATTTCTTTTAAATAAATATAATTAAAGTATAACATTTGAATTAATACATCAGAAATTTTTCCTTTTCTGTCAAAATCTTTTCTTTTATGTCTTTATTCTTATTTTACATTGTACAGAAATTTATTAAAAAAATTACTTTTATAAAATACTTTTATAAAAGTATAATATAAATGTATAATATACTGAAATATACTTAAATAATTATTTCTTATAATTATTACTTATTTATATATTTTCTTTTTAAAATTTATTGTTTTAATAATACTATACATTTTTATTATCTTTCAAATGTATTTTTAACTTCTTAAATTATTTTAAAAATAACTTTCGGCTATGTTTTATAAATATTAAGTAAAATTATAAAAGTAAAATTATAAAAGATTATATTTTTATTTTTTATTTATACAATAAACACGATCATTTTTTGGCTTACTTCATTTTTTTTTTATAAAAAATATTTTTAAGCCTGATCATGATTATCAATTGTAAAATCTAATTTCTAGAATAGAATTTCTAGATAATTAAATGTTAGAAAATCTTGATATAATATGTTAAAAATTATTCATTAGCAGTTTTCTTTTATATAAGAATTTATCTTATAATATATTTGTTATAAATTGAATTTTAGTTATAATTTTAATGATAAGTTCAACAAAAATAAGGCACTTTTCAGGTCTCTCTATTAATTTTAATTAATTTGAATATTATAATCTATAAAATTTAGATTATAATATATAAAATTATAAAAAATATCTCAAACTATAATTATCATATTAAATCAAAAATTTTTAAAAATTGAAAATGAATTTTAAATATTTTGAATATTCAGATAGGTCCAGCCTATATTATTTGTATCATATTATTCTATTAAATTACATCTACTTTATGGACAATTAAAAATTATCTTAATGATGTGAGATAAGGTTGACATGTCATTCGTTGAACCGGTTGATAAATTCTTTTTTGAACTGAACCAGCAATTGAACCATTATGTATAATATTTGATTCTGATTCTCCAAGTATATCGTTTGTTCCAATATAGTGTGATCCTCGAGAATCATTTTGAATTTCATTTGAAATATTTTGTTCATTCGTTTCATTTCTTTTACGAAATTTAGTAGAATATTTATAGAAATCAGACATTTCAAAAGGTTTTGTAACTTCTCTATATGGTTGATATCTTCCAGCTTGTACAATTGTACAATTTTGTGAAGATCCCAACACAATTGTTTCTTCATTCGTTTCTTGTGGTGATTTTGATTCCGCTGGAATTTCAAGCACTTTTATATGTGTCGGTTCGTAACGAGAAGATAATGATTGCAAATGTTGATCAGTTTCAACCATCAATATATCACTTTTACGATGATTAACTGAAGGCATATAATTATTTTTGTCTTCACCAGTTGATGATTTAGAGCAAACAGGTAGAGTAGATTGATAATGAATATTTTTATGTGATGATATTAAATTGATATCTGATCCTGGACTTGTGCCTGAATCCAAAGAAGTTTCATACCATTCTTTTTCTTTTCCTTTTTTACCAATATTATCTATTGTATCTTTATTATCATGCAAATGACTTGATTGCCATTTTTCTACACTACCTAAAGATTGGGTACGTAGTAACATTTTATTGTTACTAGATGATTGTTCGGATAATGGAAGTAAATGGACAGAAGTATTTTGAGATGAAATGTAAGAAGAATTTTTACTACAGCCTACAGATACTGTACGATATCGTGGTTGTATATCAGTACCAATACTACTACTATGTTGAACAGCATTGCGTTTTCTTCGATCTAAACTACCAAATCTATCTGAAGCAAATTGATCATCTGTGCACCAAACAATTTCATCTTCATATCGCATCCAATAACCTGATGGTAATTGTGATTCACTTGGTGAATCTGTGTATCGTAAATTTTTATTTGTGTTAATATCGCGGTCTCGTCTTATTACAGATTGTGACTGAGAATTATTTTTATGATATACTGGGAATTCAGGTATATGTGTATAATGTAATGTACGAAAATCTCTTTCATAATATTCTTGTCCACATCTTCGTTGGATATCATTATCCAATTGTTTATGGTCAGAATATTGTTGATAATTATGTACTTGATCTTGTTGAAATTGACGATATCGTAATTGTCGCTCATCTTCGGTATATGTATTTGGCAAAGGTCTATACAATCGTTCACTATCTTGATAAAAGTTTTGAGTACGTGAACTACCACTGCCATGAGAATATGTTCGCGTGCGACATTGATCGGATAATATGTAAACATTTTGATTATCGTTATGATCATGTTCAATTATTTTGATACTTTGTCGCTGATCAGAAATTGTTGGACAATAAGGATTGATGTGATTATGATTATAACTATTAGGTATTAGGGATTGATCGTCATATCCATGATTAGGATAAGCATTACATTTATCTTCGGATCCTAATGGACTTAAACTTATACCACTCTCTTGAAGCAATCCTCTTGTAATTTTAGTATTTACGTCATTAACTGTGAAAAAAATATATTTAAAGTAAAATTAAATAAGTATGATTTTTTTATATCTGGAATAAAAAATTATCATACTTGTGCCATCTAATGGTGGTCGAGGTTTCTTTGTTCTATGTTTCACATTAGCATGTAAATGTGACTGAGCATTACAAATGGTAGAGTGTTGAAATTGTGTTGAATGATGTGCTTTATTACGACTTTGTCTTAGAAAATTTAAACGTGCTTCCAATTCTTGAAGTCTACGTTGACTTTGTTGATAAACAAGTCTATGTTTACGGCGTACTGCTTTGCTTTCTTTAGGATCATTCACAATTCCTAAAGCAGCTTCTACTATACCAATTTGAACTTGTCGTTCTAATTCCAAAGCAGATTCCTCCTAAAAAATAAAATAATAAATTATTTATTTTAATATTTTGAACAAGATATTAATTTAATTTTTTGAAATTTTTTAGAAACATACAACTTCATTTGTTTTCAATTTATTAATTAAATTCTGTGGATATGTAAATGCTGTTCCGATTCTTTTACGGAATATTGGTGGACTTTCTCCAGGTTCTAATGGAATTTCTGGTGGTAAAACACCAGTCAATTCCGCTTCTTCTACACATAAGTTTTTAAGCTCATTGTTTTTTTGTGCTAATTTTTCTTGCAATGCTTCTCTACGTTGACGAAGCCATTGTAATCTTGTGGATAACGAATCTTCTGCTAAAGATCCAGATGTATTTTCGTTCCCTGCCATCACTTGCCACACAGAAGAAAAAAATTTAGTTATAATTTATAAATAGAATTTGAGCTTTTATTAAATAATGTAATTATGCAACTTATAATAATTATATTGCTTACCCATATTATTAAAAAAAATGTAATGAGATTGTGCACTACAATAATTTAATTAAAATATTTATATAATCGAATCTCATGAATTTGAAAATATCAATGTTGACACGTTTAATAAATCATGTATAATAGACAACATAACTTTCTTTTCATTTTTTTTAATTATAAAATATTTGTTTAAAATGATATTTTTTATCATTTTTAAATTATTTTTCCGTTATAAATTTTATAAAAACGCGATAATAATTACACGATAGTGGTAGGTTAACTATTACTCAAAATTATTTATATTTGTATAAATCAATTCACATTAATTGATTCATAATTTGTTAAAATTAATGTTCGTAAAAACTTATTCAATAAATATAAATATTTTTGTTAATTAAATATAAGAATATATTATATCTTTTATAACAGAAACGAAAAATATGATCAAAGAAATCGACGCCTATTGTCTTTGTACAGTTGCCATTTTATATTTTACGTGATCTATATAGTGATTTAATTATGATTGAATTTCATTTTTAGTTATGAAAATTTACACAAAAATTTATTTAAAATTATTTATATATAATTTATATAAATTTAATTTTTTAATGGAAATCTATATTTTCATATATTATTTTTTGTCAAAATAATAGTTTTAATTTTATTAATAGTGGCATCATTGATATTGCATATTATATATATGTGACTAAGTAAACACTTCTACTTAAGTGAACTTAATTTTTATTTCAGTGATATTTGAAATAAATTATTAAAAAAAATACATAATAAATTTTAAAATTTATATCATATATAACGAAATAACTTGAAAAATATTAAAATCAAGTAAATGATAAATTTGAAATTATTAAATTAATAAATATTAATTAAAAATTCAATTTGTTAATAAAAGTTTTTGATCAATTTAGGCATTAATTAATATGGTCAATATTTTAAAACCTGAATGTTCTTTTACATCATGGTATCCTTTATTTTGTAAAGATTCTTTAAAAGCAACAATTATTTATATTCCTGACGAAGTTCTTAAATATTTGGAACATGGTGCATTTATTTTACCTGTTGAAGCAACAAATACAATTTTACAAAATACAGAATGGATGGATGGATCTCCAGTAATAAATGATGATGTAAATTTATAATATTTTTAAAATTTATAATATTTTTCCTTTATAAATTTTATATGGTTACATGAAAAATAATTGAAAATTATTTTCTATCAGCATTTATTTGAGGTTCAACCAACATTTCCACAATTTAGTCAACAAATTCAAAATGTTATAGATGAATATGGTGCAGTTTTTATAAAAAGTAATTGGAGTTCACCTTTGGTATGAATATTATCTATTGACTTTTATTGAAAAATATTTAATTTTATCATGTATATGCATCTATTTCTAGGATGCAACTTGGGTTGCACCAACTAAAACATTAAAATGCAAAACATTGGAAGAAATATATTTATTATTAAAAAGTTCAGATAGAATTGCTAAAGATTTGAATAATGCAAAAAATTATTTGGATTATGAAACTCCTATAAAATCTTGTCTTATATTAAAGAAATGGAGAGATATTAATCCCTGTACAGAATTTCGATGTTTTGTAATACAAAATGAACTTATAGGTAAGAAATTACAAATTTTTTAGAATATTTAGAATGTTCATAATTCATTTGTTATTTGATTATTTATAATGAATTAATATTTTATTTTGAATTTTTTCCAGCAATCAGTCAACGAGATATATCACAATATCATAGTTATAATGAATCAGAAAAATATAATATCCAAACAGATATCAAAAGCTTATTTATGGAACGTATTAAAGATAGATTTCCATTGAATAATTGTAAGTAATTATAGAATATCTTTGTTAAAAATTTATTTAATTTAATATATAATATATTGTGATATAGATTCATTTGATGTTATACGATATAAAAAAGAAAAAGTAAAAATAGTTGATTTTGGTCCTTTGGATGAATCTGTTGTCAAAGGAACACTTTTTACATACGAAGAACTACAGAATCTTGTAGAAAGTACTCCAGAATTTAGATTTATTGGCGAAGAAATTGGTATTCAACCAAAAATTCCAAATCATTTTTGTATTCCACAAGAAATAAATGAATTTTTTCAATCTAATGAAAATACAATGCTATTAGACATTATTCAACAAGTAAGTTTATGATTTTTTAAAATTGTATAAAAAATTCGTTATTATTCATTATTATTTTATTTATCAATGATTAATTTAATATTTTTAACTTAAGGAGGTGGAAAATCAACGAAAAGAATTCGAAAATGTTAATTCTAATAGTTTGGAACATAATTAATGTACATTTGAAAAACAAAAAAATAAATAAGTGAATAATTGTAGACTTAAAAAACATTTTTAAATACAGAACTTTCACTTTTATTCTGCCAGACCCTCTTCTATCATTACATTACATAAAACGATTAAAGGCTATCCTACCGCTTAAAAGAATTATCATAATATTGCAATATTTTTCGAGTCATCGGCCTTACCGAGCGATGTCCTTTATATAGAAAATATCTTGTTTATGTACAATATGCAATCCTTAATACTTCGATTTGAAAAAGGATTTTCGATATATGTACCTCCGGACAAATTAATACGCTGTACAGTCATATCCACGGAGTATTTTTTTGTTTTTTCTTCATTATTTTCTGACAAAAAAACAACAAGAGCGAGCAATTACATTGATCGATACTTATCAATTTCTGCGATTTTACATTTTACATTTCCTGATATATTTGCACATGAAAAATATTTGATAGTAGCTTTTATAATTGTAAATGTTATTTCAATTCTTTTTTTATTTTTAATGATTTATCTAATTGTCGATAATTCGATATAATTTTTATGAATTTTATATATCTATTATTTCATATATCAATTATTAAAAAGAAAGAGAAAAGAAAAGAAAATAGTTATTTATTTACTAAAATTTAAGAGAGGTTTTAGATGCCAATATCGACAGTAAGAGTTAAAAATATTTAAACTATCTAACATACAACTTTACTATAGAATTAATTAATATTTTAATTCGTGAGTGTACGCATTCATTGTATAATCATATTTTGGTTGTCTGTTCAGATGTATATGACGTGTATACAAGTACTTCATCATTTAATATTTATAAATTTAAGTTACAATTTCATCTCTTTACGACTAGACTCTCAATCATACAATTATACAATCAATTAAAAAAAATAAGAAAATTATTATAACCATATTTTTCTACAAAATACATATTAATATTCTGACGTTAATCATAAAAAATGTATTGGTATAATTCGAAAATAAATTTTCAGTTTAAATGAATAAAATGAATGGCAAAATCAATCTATAAAATATCATATAAGATCATGTAATTTTTTTTTAGATTTTTTAATTTCCAAGTTATACTGTACCAATGGTTTTTGTACGGATTTATAACAGCAGAACGATCTTAAAAGTCTAAATTCAATAATAGTTTCAGTTCGAAACATGCGTGTATCAGAATATGTGAAAATAACGAGGCCTTTAGCATTCATCGAAATTACAAAGGAATAATATGTAATCGTATGGAGAAAACTACGAAGTTTGCAAGTTTATGCATAATTTTTTTCACTTAACGCTAGTCAAATATTTACATATAAATGCTGATGCGAGTGTATTCACATGTAAATATCGATTCTACGTTAAATATAATTAATGATGCGTTAGATCGAACCGTAGTCTTCATTGAACAAACATTTTCCGACTGGTCGTGTATCTCGAAAATATGTATTATTAATGTTTTATATAATTACAGTACATATGTATAATGGTAATGTCTAGAAAAGAAATGTTCCCTTCATTCGTATTTTTCTTTACTGCATTTTTTTAAATGTATATACAGAGAAGCAGATCTTTCATGATTCTCTTGCTTTTTTCGGACATGACTGTACTGGTGTCTATATTATTTTTTCCCTTTTTTCCCGTTTTTTTATTTTTATTTATTTATTTTTTTAACAACTTCGTCCTCGGTTTATGTGGCTTTTCGTCTCTCTTCGGTTTCTTCCGTCCTTTTCTAATTATTTAATCTCTCGATTTTCAATTGATTTGTGCTAAACGACAATATGTATTTTAATGAATGT